CCCACACACACACGCTCCCCAGCCCCCCAGGGACTTCCCAGCCTTTCTTACAGTCCAACTAGTACAAACTGTCTAGTGGGCTGAGGACCAGGGCTCCATGATTGCACACTGGGTAGAAGGCAGCAAGGTAGAGATGCACCTTTTAGACTAACTAAATAGACCTATAGAGAGTGCCAGTTTGCATGAGTTCACTTCCTCAGATGCTGTGGAAGGACAGCACGTGTGCTGCCTCTGTGCAGGTTGGAGTTGCCTCTGTGGAGGACCAGGATTCCCCGATCCCCGTTCATCTGATAGACCAACTAAATAAGCTCTAGAGCAGTGGTCTCCAACTTTTAAAGTAGGAGATCACCTTTGGCATTTAAAAGCAACCCAAGATCTGCTGTGCAGCACTGCCCCTCCCCCCCGGCAAACAAGTCCATGGGTATAGAAGAGGGGTGCAGATTGAGGCAGAAAAAATTATTTGGGGGTGCACCTCCCCAGCTGGTAGGTCCCACCCTGCCGGGGCCCCACTCGACTGACCCCTGCTCCTGCCTCTGCGGCACTGTCCCTTACCCTGGGGCCTCAATCTAGCCCCTGCCCCTTTTGTCCCCCATGGACTGACCTGCTGGGCTGGGGTGCTTGCATGCGTGAACGCAGACACTCAGTCCCCCCCACCTCAGCCTCGGATCAACTCCAAGAGGCTCTGAGATCTACCTGCTTTCACAAGTTTACTTCCTCGGATGCTATGGGAGGACTGCACATGCACAGCTCTAGTGTGGCTCCCCCCAGGCACTGTCCAGCCTTTATTGCAGCTCCTCTAGTGCAGCTTGTTTGGAGGACCAGGACTTCCTGATTGTGATGCACCTTATAGACTAACTAAATAAGACCCTACAGAGAGTACCAGTTTTCATGTTGTAGAAGGACAGCACAGAGCCATGTATACAGTGGTGTGAGCAATTCATACACAAAAGGCAGGGAAACGAAGAGAAAGAGACTTCTTGTGTACCCCTTTTGTATTCAAGTCACTCACGCCACTTCATATACTGCTCTGTGGTGGCCTTTCAGGGTGTCTAATGAAACAAGCTCATCCAGACTTGTGTTTTCCATAGGTCTTAGTCTATGAGGTACATCTCTACCCTGCCTTCTGCCTGACTTGGGAGGGCTGGGGCTAGCTGCTGCCTCTTGAAAACCAGGGGAGGAAATTATAAGACCCCCAAAATGATTCTTAAAAAAACCCCTCATACTTTGTAAGCTATTGGTACAGACTTGTCCCTAACTTGGATATTTGAACATCTGGAATGGGCCATACTCAGCCATGGGCAGATGCAGGATTTTGAAAAGGAGGGGACATGGTGAGGTGCATCATCTCATTCAACATGATGCACGTTTTTGTTTCTAGTTAAACCAGGAGCTGTTCTAACAATGGGGGCCTCCGTTCTGAAGACATAAGCAGAAACAAATGCAACTATTGATGAGGAAAAGTACTGGAGCAAGCGAAAATAAAGTTAAGCCATAATAAGGAGCATAAGTAAAGGCCGAAAAACAAAGGGGCCTTGAGATAAAACTTATTGGGAGACAGCTAGAGAAAACATGTTTAGTCTAGCAGGGCTCCAGGGTGATTTATTGTCAGACTGCCAAGAATGTATTAAGGGGGAAGACTTCTGTGTGTCTTTTTCTCACAAGTATATAACAGTCTGGACTCTGCAGCTGCAGAGAATTAGCTGCCCTTGCTTCTTCTCCCGTGGCCATGTAAAATAAAGTAAAGCGCTCTGTTAGCCAAGCAGTGATCCTGTCGTGATTTCCACATCATCTTGGGGGCTCAGTCCAGGATGTGTCCTTACACAGACCGCCCTGGGTAGGACTCTCATCTCGGCTCTTCAACTCCATCGCTCTGAGAAGGCTCTCCTCGACCCAGTTCTTTGGCTCTGTGGACACTCCAGACCCTAATCTGTTATTTGCCTGTTTGGCTCTGAAGGAAAAGTCCCTGGCCAGGGTGAGTACCTGTCTGTTTTGGTGTCTGTAAGTCCTAGGCATGACAATGGGTAGTGGGACCTCTAAGGTCCCGCAGCGGGATCCCGCCCAGTTCATGCATTTAAAATACAGGCCCTAGTCAACTCAATACCTAGCAAAATGGAATCAATATACCAATGATGACCCTAAGTTACGCTTGCCCTTAGATGGGTCCTGGGATCATTAAATTCTCAAACACCTCTGTGGAAATTTGGAAAGCAAGCACCCCGTTAAAATGGAAGCCTGGTACCTATGGGAAGATGAGTCTGAAAAGCGCCATAAGTGCTCCCTTATGGCTTCCTACAAGGAGAATGAGGAAAAATTTAAGAAACAGATTGATCACCTTCAGACTCCCCAATCAGATTCACTCTTCAGAATCGCCACAATGCTACCACCAACATAGACACAAAGGGAGCCACCGTAAGAAAGATTACTACTCACCGGGTCAGAAACCTTGCTGCGGCGCAGTATCCTCTCCAAGAGTACCCTGTGCTGGGGGAGGCAATCTGTGGTAGTCCACGTCCCCTTCTCACCCTCATAAATCATTTCCTGGTCAACTACTTTCCCTAAGCTCCTTGAAGACCTTACCAGTTTTGCTCAAAAGCTTAAAACCCTTTTTGAGGTCTATAAGCCAACTTATGGTGACATTCAGATGCTCCTCAGTGGTTTTCTCACTGGAGACCAAAGGGACACCCTCCTCAAAGCCAGTCTGCGGGACCTCTATAAACAGGTCCTAGATGCTGTCCCTAAGGTTTCCCCGCAAAAGACAGACTGGTCCAAAATTTCTATGTGTAAACAGAAGCTAGAAGAACACCCTTCCAATTACTATTCTCCCCTAATCCAAGTCTTTAAGGCACATTCTGGCAATGAAGACCCAGAAGCTAATCTCTCTGCCGTGATCATCCAAACCTTTGTTTTAGGGCTGTTACCAAAGATTTCTGAGCCCCTGCAGACCGCTGTAATAAGATGGGGAGCTAAACGCATCACCGAAATTCTGGCTGCTGCCACTCATTTCTATATTAAAGTTCAGCAGCAAAAATCAAAGGCTCAGGAAAAATTGATGGCTCTGCAAATCAGAGACCTTCAAGGTGATACCGGACCCTGGCGCTCTACTGGACCGTTTCGCTTGACCCGGCCACCCGGTCCCTTTGACATTCCTAATGATGTCTGTCGCTACTGCAAACAGAAAGGTCACTGGAAGAATGGTAGATCCCAGGGGCCCCCGCTCTCAGCTAGTGCCCCTCCGTTTCAGCCAGGCGCCCGCCAAGCTCCACCACCTGGACCGGCACTTCTCCAGTCCTTCGAAGGTGAAGATCAGTGTTAGGACAGCTGAGAAAACCCAGAGACTCTAGCCCCTTTGCTTTCTACCCTTTCTGATGCTACAATACCTGTTACTGTGGGAAAACAGACTGTTCCCTTTCCTATTGATACCGGTGCTTCTTTGTCTATGCTTAGCTCTGATTTTGTTTCTAAGGTTCCCATTTCTGATAAAGTAATCACCGCTATAGGTATTGGGGATCAATCTATTGACCACCCTGTTACGCAGCTGCTCTCGTTTACCTGAGGTCCCCTTACTGAGCAACATGCCTTTTTGTTAAGTCCTTGTGCTTCTGTAAACCTGCTGGGGCGAGACCTCCTGTGCAAGTTACGAGCCACTGTTCATTGTTCTCTGGATGGGGTTTTCCTCTCATTACCCCAGACCCAAATTCCTGCCTTGATGATGACGCTAATGGAACAGGAACCCAAGCCCAATTCTTCCTCGTTGCAACAGGAACTATTGGCTCACTTTCCTGAGTCCTTTTGGACTCCACAACCAATGTGGGGCTTCTTAAGAGTGCCATCCCAGTTTCTATCAAGGTTAAACCAGGAGTGTCTCCCCCATCAGTCCTGCAATACCCGCTGTCGGCTGCTACCTCTCAAGGCATTGCACCTGTCATACAAGGGCTCCTAGAGCAAGGAGTTCTTGCACCTACTCACTCCAGCTGTAATACCCCAATCCTGCCGGTCCACAAACCAGGGAAATTCACCCCTGAAGGATTGCCTGTTTATCGGTTCGTTCAAGATTTGTGTATTATTAACAATTTTGTGGTTTCTTTGACAGCTGTGGTGCCCAACCCTGCCACTATTCTTTCTCGGATACCTGCTTCTGCCTCTTGGTCTTCTG